AAAAACAGCCATGGCAACATTTATTGAGTGCTTCCTCTGTGTCAGACACTGCACACCCCTTCTTCCTCACAGCAGCCCCCCTGCAGGGCCAGGAAGACAAACAGCTTCTTGGGTTTGTTCAGCCAGAACATGAGTCTTCTCATGCTGGTGAGTCTGACTTGAGGGTCTGTGTTCAGGACACAGAACGCTCTAGATTGGGAAGAGAGGCCCACCTGTCCTAGTGGAAACGTCTTGTAGTCTTGGTCTCTGTGACATCATCTTTCTCTTCCTGCATCTCTGACTGATTTGCTGCCATCTTGTCCTCACTGCCTCAAGCATCCCCAGCTTCGATCCTTTTCCTTTTATTCTCTCACTGTGCGTGCCGTTTCCTTTGTGACCTCAGACTCTGGTCCTCTGTCCGTAGCCCTGGCAGCCCTGGTGCAGCCAGAGCCTCCTGGATACCTCCACGGAGGTGTCCCGCAGGTAGCTCGAACTCAGGATTTTTAGCATTCACCTGGTCTTCCTTCCAGATCTGTTCCTCTTCCTTCATGCTCTGTCCTGAATTTATGATCTGCCTTCCTCTGTAGCCTGAGAGCCCAGAAATCTGGGAGTCTTCCTGAACTTTTCCTTGACTCTCTCCTGCCACATCCAAGACAGTCTCAGAGTCTCTAGATTTTATCCTCGAAATCTCCATGTTTGCCTGTTCCGTCCATGGCCAGTGCAGCCCCCTGAAGCCAGGTTTCTGTCCTCTGTTGCATCCCAGTGGTACTCAGTTGTGGCTACCTGTCAGTTGCCAGAGGAGCTCTGAGATCATGGCACCCAGCCCTACCTGCAGAGATTTTGATTCCGTAGATCTTGGGTGAGGTCTGGGAGTCTGTGTTTTAGCAAGCACGCGATTCTTATGTGGGCAGTCTAGCAACAGACAAGCGTTTGAGAACCACCGATCCAACTGGTTTCCCTGCCTCTTGATGTATAACCCTTCCCTCTTCAGTTCACTCCCCACCCACTGTCTCCACCATGCTCCTTTAAAAGCCCAAACCCATCCAGTATCTCCTCAGCAGAGTTTGTAAGACCCCCCCCAGAGATCTGTGCAGTCATTTCCTGCCCTCTTCCTTTGTAGATCAGGCCTGCTTAGTTTCCAGAATAGGTGGTTGTCTTTCTTGGTTCTGGGCTATGTATTTATTCAGCTCTTGCAGAGTAGTCATACATTTTCATTTGCATATCTCTCGTCATTGCACTAAGAGGAACCTTTGCAGATCTCTCTAATTCTGCCCCCTGAAAAAAGACCTGTCTTCTTGGCAAATGACCCTTATTTAAAGAAAGTTCAAATCTCTGCTTTTGATGCCTGTCTTGTCCCCCTTCCTGTCGTAACAACTGAACTTAAGACACCCTCAGATATTGCAGTCATCACACTGCATAGCAATTTTATTTTCATGTCCCCTCTTCCTCTAGCAGATAATGAGCCTGAGAGATTGGGACCAAGTAACCTGTCCAAAATCACTCAGCTCTGAAGGAATAGAGTGTCTGGCTTCAAAGTCTGTTCTGTCTATTCCACTGTGCTATGTGGTCTTAAGATATAAATCAGATTAGGAATACAAGGCTGTTGGTAGAAGGGTGTTCAAGGGAATCCCCGTTTCAGATGGCTTCTGAAAAAGCCAGCATCTATTAAAAAATGGTCCCCATTTAAAAAATAAAGGTGTAATCTACATCTAGTAAAATTGACTTGTTTTTGTGAACAGTTTGTGAGCTGTGTAACTATTATGTGGCCTTTTAATCTAGATAAAACTATGTGACTGCTGCCCAAATTAATGTTTGTAAGCAAAGCAGTCCCACCTTGCATAAGTTTTATGGATCAGTCTTAAAATATTTTGATTAGAAACTGTTTCCTGAAAAAGAGTTAACCCTTAAGAATCTGGAAGGGTTAAGGCAATGTGTTTTAGAAATCCTCATTATTAAAATAAAGGGTTTTACTCTTGAGCTTGATTTGCTATGATATCTGGCTTTAGATTTGCTTAAATTTAGTTTAAAAATAGGATAGGGGAGCCATTATAAAAGGAGACACCTCCTTCTTCGTACCCAGTGGTTAGAAATTTTCCGAATTTAGGTGAAATTTGCTTTCCTATAACTTCTCATTGGTCCTGATTCTGCTTTTTAAAAACAGAGAATAAATCTGATTTCTCGTAAGTTCTCTTGGTATTTGGTGAGGGCTCTAAGTGATTTTGGCCAGGTTACTTGATTCCCAATCTCTCAGGCTCATTATCTGCTAGAGGAAGAGTAGACATGAAAATAAAACTGCCTTGCAGTGTGATGAGTGCAATGTCTGAGGGTGTTTTAGGTACAGTCGTTATGAAAATATGGAGCATTTATTTTAATATATTCAGAGTTTACATAAAATACACAAAGCATCAGTATTCGTGATTGTTCCTTTACTGTTTTAGTCCCCAAACATGTTTTTGGTTCAAGACTTTTTGGGGCCTGTTAGTTAACTCCTTTGATCATTTTCGATAAAAACGACCATGGCAACATTTATTGAGCGCTTCCTCTGTGTCAGACACTGCACACCAATTCTCCCTCATGGCAGCCCTCCTGCAAGGCCAGGAAGACAAATAACTTCTTGGGTTTGTTCAGCTGGAACATGAGTCTTCTCATGCTGGTGAGTCTGACTTGAGGATCCGTGTTCAGGACACAGGACGTTCTAGATTGGGAAGATCTTCCTATCCCTTTGTGACACTGTTGGGATACACTCCATCTTTCTTTTCGGTGGGAAAGGACACATATAAAAGAAGTATAGGACATTTGGATCTTGCCAGAAGCACTAAAGGAAATATGAGTGCAAATGAATACAGAAAAATACACATAACTTGAGTCATAAAATAGAAAAATGTGGAGGAAATAGTAGGATGGGAGTTGTTATACTTGGGCAGATATCTCTGGTCCGTCCCTCACTCGGTCATGGCTTCAGAAGCGGTCATGACCCTGGCCCAGGTGTGCCAGGCACAGAACCTGGTGAAGTGTGAGACTTGGTTCGTCAGAGTAGTTCTTTTTTTTCAAAGTCTTTAATGTTAAAGGTGTGGGGGTACAATTCAGGGCTAAGCATGCAAATGATGCAGGTGCCCTTGTTGATGAGGGGAGTCAGTGTCTTTCTGCTGAGGGAGCTGTCAGAAGTCTGCCTTATTTTCTTTCCCTAGAAAGAACAATCTTAAAATCCAACGTTTGTACCCATCAGTTAGAAGAAAACTGGGAAACGCTCTCCCTCAGTGAAGGGTGATGGAGCAGTCCTAGTTGTAGCACCAGAACAGCTGTTGGGATGCACAGGGCTTTTGCCTGACCTGCTTGTCGCTCGACCTCTCTGAGTCTGACTTTTCAGATAAAGAGTTCTCTTCTAAATCTAAGACTTCACAGGTGTAGCTTAGATGAAGTTTTACATGGCAACATGGAAGGCTGAAAATGGTTAATGAATAGGCTCAACCTAAGAGCAAAATCATTAAGGCATGAAGGCATAAACATTGTGTTAATAAGCATATTAAAAGTGTAAAATGCAAAAGTAAGGCAGTTTGGTAAACAGATCGATGAGTGGATATATTTGTGCTGTTTTTGATTCCCTTCCTCTAAAAAAACTTTCCAAAGAGAGAATTTCCCAAGAATGCTGCATAAAACACATTTGAATCTTTGTGCCATCTGGTGACAGAATTTGACTTTAGTGGTACAGAGAGGTAGGGTTTCAGCAATGTTTCTTTTTTCTAATAAATTCATGGCTTGGAATTCCACCGGTAACTGTGTGGTGTTAGACTATTGACAACATTGTGGAAATATATCTTCTGTCATTCTCCTATGTATAATCTGCATTTGGATTCATTGTACAGTAAGACAAATGAATTAGAGGATTTAATTTACCTTTAAATATATGTATTTGCATGTTTGAGTTCATGAAAATATGGAGCATTTATTTTAATATATTCAGAGTTTACATAAAATACACAAAGCATCAGTATTCGTGATTGTTCCTTTACTGTTTTAGCTCCTAAACATGTTTTTGGTTCAAGACTTTTTGGGGCCTGTTAGTAATGGCGGTTCTTCCTATCCCTCTGTGACACTGTTGGGATACATGCCATCTTTCTTTTCGGTGGAAAAGGAAACATATAAAAGAAGTAGAGGACATTTGAATCTTGCCAAGAAGCACTAAAGGAAATACGAGTGCAAATAAATACAGAAAAATACATATAACTTGTGTAATAAAATAGAAAAACATGGAGGAAGCATTAAGATGGGTGTTACTGTACTTGGTTTAAGTGCTGACAATTACTACCACTTCCTTACTCACAGTAGAAGATTGAATTTTTGAGAGGTCTCTGACCCTGTGAACGGAAGGACTAATTGGAGAAGGATGAGGTGTGAAATGTGACCTTTTATAGGCTGCAGCCAAGAGTTTGTTGTGTGGTTGCTGAATTAACGCATGGCTTGCACTGTTGGGCAAAGAATGGAGGGCATTGCCTTTTTCCCCTGGAGTAAGCAACGGAGCAAAGGACATTGAGCTCTATAGCTCACTCACGTAACTAAGTACTGGATTGAAGGGCTGTTGACTTGAGGTTGGAGTTGTGTCAACGTAGAGGAGATCTGGGAAGAGCTGTGGGAAAGAGTTCCTGGACACGGAGGAAAGCTTGAGTGTCAATGAAAGTACTGTTGGGTTTGGCAGAAAGGATAGAGAGTGAAGGAATATGAAAAAAATCACCTACTCTTTATCTATTCATCAAGTCCACTTTTAGGGACCTTGATAGGCCTTGCATTGTAAGAGTGAAAGAAGGCCTGTCTTCTGGGAAGGTCAGGGGTGTGATGAGTGCAGCGGTGGAACAGAAACACGTGTGGGTGCTTTGGTTGTGCAGAGTGGGTCCCTGTCCAGTTAAAAAAAATTTGATTCTGTTTTCTTCGACTTTAATCTCTTCTTCCTCCTAATAATTACTTTCAAAGGTGACAGTTTTCAGAAGCTAAAATTCCAAGGAATCATCTGGTTTCGCACTAGCTCAAAGAGAGTGGCTCATGGAATGGCAAATGGCGTGGCATCAGTGGGAGCTTCCGAGAAGATGTATGGTCTTCTGGGAGACGGTCCACATGTCAGACCCACCGTGTCAAGACCTGCATTTTGACTATGCCTTCTCCTCCCCGCCCCCTCCACCAGGTCGTTCTTTTTCTCATTAAGCTGAAGCATTCCCCATTTGGGAAAGGGTAGTTAGATGACAATTTTTAAAAAGCAAAACCAAAGTCGGAGGAGCATGAATCTATCTAGTTTACTCCCCTTCTGGGTTTCTAGATGAAGCAGATGAGGAGAGATTGTGCCCCTCGGGTCCTACACACAGAGGCAGAGCCAGTGTTCGAACTCAACCAATCTGTTTACTGAGGGAATCGCGTGTGCTTTTTCTGATTTGTGTGATTTCTCATTTTCCTGTACCTTGTTATTCTTTTACTGGCCTCCATGACTGTTTGATATTTGAAGTTCTTCAGAGTCTTACTAAGTATCTCTTTCCCTCTGCCTTTGGGTAGGCCCGTCTTTCAATTTTTCTGTTGAATGAGAGAAAGATACAGTGTACCACATTGTACATCAAAAAGAACGTACGTTTTCATTCACTCTTAATTTCTCTAATTTTTCTATTTCTCTAATTTTTTCCTACTCGCTGCTTAGAATGTTCTTGAAGTCAATAGGAATTCTGTACCTGGGAAGGATGAGAAATAGTCTCTGATGTTAGACATAAAATGCTCACAGATGAATTCATTTTTCTTCCTTTTTTGCGTAGATTATCCCATTTACAGAGTACTTCTGCTCTTTGTATCAGTCTCAGGGAAAACAGTCTCGGTCTTACACTTGGTGGCGAATAGGATACCACAGCGACTCCTCTTAGGCCTAGAACAGGGCTTTGGACTTCAGGGAGTTTGTCTAAATCGTTTTCTCTTACATAGAAAAATGAAAACATTTCTCTATATAAGGAGCACCCCATATTTTATAGGGGACTTTTGGCATAGAAAGATGTGGTCATAGAAGGGTGATGAGCATAGGATAAAATGTCATCAAAGAAAAGTGAACAATCACTTATAAGACCACACTACACAGTGCCTTTAACAAAAGTCAGTCAAGCTATCTTTTAAGTCACTTCCTTCCTCCTTGTGAGACGTTTGCCATCTCTGCTGTCATTCAAATGTTTTAGTTTATTTTTAACTCTGGAATGTGTTTGATTTGAGTGATCCAATCATAATGTCTGAATAGTAGACCTCCCTTGTGAACGAGGAAATAAAATCTGTTTTTCTTGTTTGCCTATGTCTTTTCCTGTCAAGTCATTTTTGCACCTTTTTAACTACTCTGATTTCACTGAAACTATAGTTATTATGTCACTTCTTATCTTTGGAAATTATTCGGCTGTTGTGTTGTTGTGTTTTATGTCTTGTGTCTTATTTTCTATCAGCAGTATCTAGAAACAGATTAAGTTGGTTTTTTGAAATACTTAAAAGTATTTTGTATCTTTTAGTATACCTAGTTATCAAATACAAAAACCATTGTGCATATATAGCTTTAGTGAAAATGACAGTTTAAAGAAGAGGTTATTATAATCAGCAATTAAGTTAAATTAATTTAAGCTGGTTCTAGGAGCTTGTATTTTCTTTTACTATTTAAAAAGTATATTACTTTTGACCGGGCTCGGTGGCTCACGTCTGTAACCCCAGCCCTTTGGGAGGCTGAAGTGGGAAGATTGCTTGAGCCCAGGAGTTCCAAGACCAGCCTAGGCAACATAGTGAGACCTTGTCTCTACAAAAAGTAAAAAAGAAAAATAAGCCGAGCATGGTGACGCACAACTGTAGTCCCAGCTCCTTGAGGCTACAGGGAAGGATCACCTGAGCCCAGGAGTGAGGCTGCAGTGAGCCCTGATTCAGGCCCCTGTTCTCCACCTGGGCGAGAATGACACCCCAGCTAAGAAAACAACAACAAACAACAACAACAACAAACCCAGAAGACAACAAATGCATTATTTTCCTCAAAATAGAATTTAAAAACGTTTTGCATTGCCAAGAAGAAACTACACATTAGCTTTGCAACCTTTCAATGTTGTTTAGCTCCTAGAAGTAGAAGCGTTAATATCAGTATCTTTTTATAATGTGTTAAAAAATGAATTTTTGTCAATGCCATCTGTGTTTCATTATCATGACGCTCTTAGAAATGTTTTACTTGTGGCAACGCTCTATTATAAAATTGATGCTTGGTTGCATATTTGAATATTACAGACAATTCATCTTAAGTAATATAATGTTTAGTTACACATATGTAAATTGATTTCTGGCTTTAGAGAAAAGCACACATTGGGTCTTCATGGGGAATAAAACAGATGTATGCTATCAGTGAAAAAGCTTTAAAAAAAAAAATGGTCATGCACGGTGATGCATGCACCTGTAGTCCCAGCTACTCAGGAGACTGAGGCAGAAGGATCGCCTGAACCCAGGAGGTCAAGGTTGTGGTGAGCTGGAACCATGCCAGTGCACTCCAACCTGAGTGACAGAATGAGACCCTGTGCCCAAAAAAGCAGTTAGAAAAAAATGTCTTGGGTATGATGGCCATTTAAATAAATTGTAGAATTATAATGAACGTTAGTGTCTCAAGTATAGTTGTCCTCTCGTCGTCAGTGGCTAGAGATATCCCCACACACCTCTTGAGTCTAGCTCTTACCTGCTTTTGGGTGTCTAGAGGAACAGCTTCCAAACTGTGCTGATCAATGTCACAGATCATATATGGAAGACAAGTGTTTCCTTAGATACTTGTTTTCTGCCCGTGAAGTTTTTCATTAACTTTTCATTCCAAGCTTACCTCCTCTATTTTTGGTGAGTTGCATTTCTTGTCTTTGTAAAACATCATGTGGAATGTAAGAAGTGAAACTGGATTTTCAGAAGCTACTTACAGGTGTCGGTGTTGTTTCTTTGGTTTTTCTATCACGTGTTTTTGTTGAGACTTGAAAGGGCAGTGATGTGTGTTTGGTCAAAGTAGGAAGTGGAGTCGAAGCATTTCGATTCCTAAAGAGTCTGCTTTTTACAGTGTTTATGGTTCAGCGAGTGTCACGGTGCTTTGTTCTCTCTACAGACAAGCGTGTGGAAAACTGGCCTCTGATGCAGTCTCCATGGCCTACACTAAGCATAAGCACTCTCTATCTCCTGTTTGTGTGGCTGGGTCCTAAGTGGATGAAGGACCGAGAACCTTTTCAGATGCGCCTGGTGCTCATCGCCTATAATTTCGGGATGGTTTTGCTTAACCTTTTCATCTTCAGAGAGGTAGGTCTCTTAAGCTCACGCTAGACGAATTCTCCAGGCTTGTTGGAAAGTAAAAAATGAGAATGTGTAAAACCATCATTGCACTATTGCACCCCAAGATAACTGTGAGCCACTCTAATGGTAAATTTTTGACATTTTTCACTCGAAGAGAACAAAGATGTAAAACATAAGATTTGGGGCAGTTGCTTAAAATAGATTTCGAATCAGACAGAATGGATTCTAAAATAACCCTTGTTCATTTTTCTGGCATTCAAAGTTATCTAAGCCGGGCACAGTGGCTCATACCTGTAATCCCAGCACTTTGGGCAAAGAGGATTGCCTGAGTCCAGGGGTTCAAGAGCAGCCTGGGCAACTTGGCAGGACCTTGTCGCTACCATAAATAAAAAAAACTAGCTGGGCATGTTGGTGCATGCCTGCGGTTCCAGCTACTTGGAAGACTGAGATGGAAGGATCACCTGAACCCAGCAGGTGACTGTGAGCATGCCACTGCCTTTTGGCCTGGGTGACAGAGTGAGACTCAGACTCAAAAAAAAAAAAAGTTACTTAACTGTTCTTCACCTGCTTTTCCCCATTTGTAAAATGAGGAAAATACCAACCTTCTAGGTTCTCATCAGAGTTAAGTGAGATCATTTTTGTGTAGTGTTTGGCACCTATTAAGCACTCAGTAAACGGCAGCAACTGTTTATTCGTAATTCTCATTCAGCAGTTTCAAGTTTGGTAACTGATCAAAATATATAGATGTGAATACCGATTTCAAGTTAAATCCTGTTGGGTAATGTCATTGTATTTTGGACTGGAATTAAAATGAGTTACCTACTATACAACTGTTGCCACTAATCATTGTATACTTTCTGGGCACCAGCAAATTCTCCCTGACATTTTGAAAGGAAATCCTAAATGCTAGTTTGACGAGCCATTTTTTAAGTTGTGGACGTGTAAGGAATCTGTTTCCTACGAGATGTGTTAGAATTCTGCATGATCACAGGGAACTGATTAGTGATACTAGGAAAGTAAACACTAACTCTTAAAAAAAAAACAACTTTCTTTAATTGACAGCCTAGCCTACAGAATATAACTTCATAACTACTTTGATTTATTTGGATACTTGCATCTAATTTGTTAGTTATAAACTATGACCACTCTCAGTCAAAAATAGAAACCAGTTAAGGCAGGACAAGTCTTAGATCTGAGTCATGGCAATACAAATTTCTTTTAATATTTTGAGGTAGATAGAGGTGATGTCTCAGTCTAGAAGTTACATGTGATTTTAAATGTAGATTTAGGTCATAGAACAAGTTAGTACTCAATAACTTTTAGAAACTCCAATACAATAAATGTTTAGCAAATTTGAAATTTTTAAAAGATGAAATATTGCTTTTAACCTATTTTAAAAAGTTACACATTGCATTTAGTGTTTTTAATGCTGTTCTACTAAAACTTTACTCCAAATGTTGTTACTTTTTTCCTAGTTATTCATGGGATCATACAATGCAGGATATAGCTATATTTGCCAGAGTGTGGATTATTCTAATAATGTTAATGAAGTCAGGGTAAGTACATTAAAAATACTGCTATTCAGTAAAAATGGCTTAATTTTATAGACCCTAGTCTGTGAAAATGTTCTTTAATACGGTCGTGAGATTGTACTGGATTGTTGTGAGTCAGTAAAGCTATGCTTTTCTTTAAAAGTATATCATTTAAAATTTGTTTTTGTACCTCTAGTAAGTTCTTTTATTTGGTGATATGAGTTGATATGAATGGGATTTCTAGAATGCAGCTTATTAAAAAACAGATATTATTTTATACTTTTTGTTGTTGTTTTCGGTCAAGAATAGAAACTCCTAAAGAGAATCAAATTATTTGTTAAGAAAGTCTGAGGAAAAGCAGATGTTAGCAAATTAGGCATAGCGCAATTTGTATAGGTATAAACTCAGTTTTTATTATATTTTCATAAAATAAACACTGGTAATATAATGTTATCGTACTTTATTTTCTAATCACCTTCATTAGTAGGCGATTAACATTTAACTCAGGTGAAAGAAACAGCAAATTATCTTATGCTATTATTCTATTGAACTCCTCTTAAACACTGTGGTTCGTATTAAAAATTACATATAACATAAAACATATCTTTCTTATATGTTTTATGTTATATGTAATAATAACAGGATATGGATTGGCTTCCCTTGAGAAAAATAGCTTTCTGGCTTGGGGGTTGGGGAACATGAATGCCAGTTCTCATCAAGACCCAAGACCAGATTTCTCGAATATACTTACCATTTTATGTCCATGTCTCCATTTCCCTATGGGAAGACTTACGGACTGATAAAAAATCACCCCGTTGGTTGTCATGTTAGTTTTGTTCATTAAATGAACAAGTGTTGAGCTTCTATTGTATGCTGATACCACGAGGAACACTAGGTAGGTGAAAAGACGGTGAGATTCCTGCCTCGGTGGAGCTGAAATTCTCTTGAGGGTGAGGAGGCCGACTGGCGTCATGTAGACAAATGACTAAAGACAGAATTAATAAAAACTGCAATATTTCTGGGAGAGACTGGGGTCAACTACTTTCTTTAGATTTGTTGGTCAGGAAAAAATTTCTTCTGATCACCATGTTGCCAGAGAATCTCTTCAGTTGAGAATTGACTTCTTGCTTTGGAGAGGGGCAAGAAATGTTTGATTTGCTTTCTTCTAGCAATGTTCTTAGAAAAACCCCTTGGATGAGGAAACTGTTAGTATTTTTAGGATAAAGTTTCAAAAACACCACTCTGGTCATGGCAAACCAACCCTCTTGACATGCATGAACTTTCAAGTCTTTAAAAAAGTAGCTGTGATTAGGACTGGAATCTAGGAGGAGAAAGAGCCTGAGATTTGCAGCAGAGTTCCTTTGAAGTCTCCCTCCTGTTCTCACCTCCTCTCTGATAGTGGATGCCGTAGTGTGACTGTTTTACCCAGAGACTCATTTTTGTATTCCCTGTTGATGTAGCCAGGAACTATTAGTTTTCACTTTGGTGTTGCCTATTGAAAAGGTATCTTTAAGACACACCTCATCAATAAGGGTACCTGCACAATGAACATTTGTATACCTAACCCTGAATTGTACCCCACAATTTCAAAATAAAAATTAAAAGAGAAAAAAAGAGATACCTTTTCAAAGGAAACAGAACTGTTTATTATTATATGTGAATCGTGGCAAATTTAGAGGCCCACTTGGAGGAAACACATGGTCTCTTTCCCTTTAGAGAGTTATTTATTTTAAAATGGTGATAGTGCCGGGCTTGGTGGCTCAGCCTGTAATCCCGCGCCTTGGGAGGCTGAGGTGAGTGGATTGCCTGAGCCCGTGGGTTTGAGACCCACCTGGGCAACTTGGCGAGACCTCATCCCTACAGTAAATCAAAATATAAGCCGGGCGTGGCAGCGCGCACCTGTAGTTCCAGCTACTTGGAAGGCTGAGGTGGAAGGATCGCCGGAGCCCAGCAGGTCGAGGCTGCGGTGGTCGGGAGCGACCACTGCACTCCAGTCTGGGTGACAGAGTGAGACTCCAATTAAAAAGAAATGAAATAAAATAAAATAAAATGGTGATAGTTACTTTATTTTTAAACTAATATAATAGTGAATATTAACTATAGTTCTGCTGTGATTAGATAACTATTTCAAGGTTATTTTCAACCAGCTTTTTTTTTTTTGGTCATTTTCAGCAGTATTACTCAAGCAAATTCAGCAGATAATTATCCATTTGTAGCTACGAGACTTTATTATTTATATGACCTTTCTCTTTCCTCAAACTTTAAAATTGTAATTTTGTTTCTCAGAGGCAAAAAACCAACCGAACAAAAACCCATGCCACCCACCAGATACAGGTGTAACATGAGGAAGGGATCTTTCAACTCTGAGATACCCAACACTGTCAAGGCCCTAACACACAAAGGTTTATGTTATTTTTACATAGGATGCTTGTCACAGAAAATGCTTGACATTAAATAGTTTTGGCTACTGCTATAGAGGATTATTGGAAAACATTTGAAAACATATACAGAGGTCACCTCTCACTGGATCCTTAATCTCTGCATGTAATGTAATCTTTCTGCACCATCTGGTGTCTTAATTAAAGCCCAGGAAAAGAAAAGACTTATTTATGTAAGCAGGATTATATTTGTGACCTGGGGAATATTTGGTTTTTGTTTATTCTTTCCAACGTATTGTTTTAAATATTCTGCTACCTAATACAAACTGCTGTGATTGGATCCTTACTTAATGCACATGTTAAAGTGAGAGAGAGAGAGACAGACAGACAGACAGGTACTCAGACGCTTACAGAGACCAGTAGCTGCATACGTTTATTTGCCAGTTTTTCTGAGGCATAATTTAGGCTAAGCGTGAACAACTGAAATATTTTACAAGGTAGACATCTCAGTGCCTGTACCAGATTGAAAAGCATAGCAATGTGAATGTGTTTCCAGCTCTCTGTTCAGCAGTTTGACAGTGTGTGACATCCACCCATATGACAGGCTGAAAACGTCCTCTGAATTATTATTACTGTATAGCTACAGCTTTGGACTCATTTTTTCCCCCATGGATAAATGCTCAGGTTTCAGGCCTACTTAGCCATAGATGATTCCATGCCTTGTACATTTTCTGCTGTGAAGATTATTTTGGACTGACTTACAGTGAGTAGAAACCCATACAAGAATGCCATTTTGTGCTGATAACATGCCTTTCCTTTCTTTTTACAGATAGCCGCTGCTCTGTGGTGGTACTTTGTATCTAAAGGGGTTGAGTATTTGGACACAGTGTTTTTTATCCTGAGGAAGAAGAACAATCAAGTTTCTTTCCTTCATGTATATCATCACTGTACAATGTTCACATTGTGGTGGATTGGAATTAAGTGGGTCGCAGGAGGACAAGGTGAGCATTTTCAGGGATAGATCTGCATGTGTTAAATTGTATACGTGTGGTGGGTGGAAAGGAATGGGAACCTGGGAATTTGACTTGGTCTGTCATTTAACTTGCCTTCATGGGTGATCATTTCCTGTTCATTTCACTTTTTAAAAATCTGAAGAAAGTAAAACTTTAGCTTTTTTTCCTGTGACTGCTTCACTACTTAAAGATTTGCTCCAGGCATGAGCGTAAACCAAGCCTAAATGTAGGAAATAATATTTTGATGGAGGACAGTTCCAGTAGTTCTGAGCCAAAGGATACCGAGACACAACCCCTCAATCTGAGGATGCCATTTTCAGTCCAAACCCCCAAATCTGAAATCTGAGATGCTCCAAAATCTGAAACTTTCTGAGCCCCGCAAGACGCCACAAGTGGAAAATTCCACACCTGACCTCATAAGATGAGTCGCAGTCAAAACACAGGTGCTCAGCACCCAGTTTATTCACTTCTCCAAGGGAACAAAGACCCTCCAGTCCCCTTCAGCTGTGATGTTTTTTCTGCACACAGCGTGATGGTGATGCCAAGCAACTGTAGATCGTCCACGTGGATGACTGAGCTCAGGGCATCTTCGCTTTCAGATGGCTCAGTGTACACAAACTTGGTTTCATACCAAAAGCTATGTTTAAATCTTATAAGATTGCCTCGGGCCATGTGTATAAAACATCAGTGAGTTTTGGGATTAGGCTTCAGCCTTTTCCCCAAGATGCCTCCTTATGTGAATGTTCCAGAATCTGAAAGCATCCCAGATCTGGACCACTTCTGGTCCTAAGCATTTTGGACAAGGGATACTCAACCCGTATAGGCCTTAAATGACCTTGTTGGTTCATATTCGGAGGAAATTTTATTTAGCTTTGTTAATGTTAAGAGGATCTGGACCACACTTTCCTTAAGCCTCTGGCCCCCTCTCTGGTCTTGGAGAAGTGGATCCACCCTCTCTTTCTCTGGTCCACTTTCCGAATAAACTTTCTTTTCTAGTCTTAAAAAAAAAAGAGGAGGAACTGAATTTACAGTTGGGCCAAGATTCTCCTCCAGGGTTGTCTTCTCAGTGCCTATAGATTAAAGATGATTCACACCGTTGCGCTGAAACAGACCATTCCTCCGATGGGGACGGGGCGCGAGTTGTTGTCGTCCAGTTCGCCTTGCTGCTTTCCACTGTCACGTGACGGCAGTCAGCAACTTACAAATTTTGATTGGGGGCCCAATTTAAAATAATACAGTCGGTCTCTGTAGCTTTAAAAAGAAGTCAATCAATCTGAATTTACCCCTTAAAACACATCATGACCAAGTTCATTATTGTTGCATTTATACTTTGACTTAAATAATGTTCTGAAAAGAAAGAATGGTATTGGTTTAGACTGACTGGAATATCTCTGTAGATGTACATATACTTAATGGATTCTCCAATATGTGTAATGCTGTCATATTTAAAACTATTTAGAAACCTAAGAAAGCAGTTCTATTTTGTTGTAGATATGCATATTATATGTACTATAACCTTTTGCCCCAAGAGTAGTAGAATTAAATGTGCCATTAACAGTTGTTCTGTAGTAAAGCCTATGTAAGCTCACTGGAACACCCCATTTGAAAACTACCCCTTTGAAAGTTCTTTCAACACATTTTGTTTATATGGTAAAAATGCAGATCTAAACTTTAAAAATATTGAGCTTTTTCATTAGCACTACTTTATACAACGTATTCCTAACCAGTACTCAAGAGTAAATGTTAGAAAATAACATGGATTCATTTATTTTATACCTCAGTGGTTTACTGCCTAATAACATTTCGTGTCTTGCAATTACCTCTTGTTTCTCTAAAGCATTTTTCGGAGCCCAGATGAATTCCTTTATCCACGTGATTATGTACTCATACTATGGACTGACAGCCTTCGGCCCGTGGATTCAGAAGTATCTCTGGTGGAAACGATACCTCACCATGTTGCAGCTGGTAAGTTAAATGCCTCTGAAGTTTCTTTTGGTGGAATACTGAATGCGTTTGAATTTTACTAATTGTGAAGTGCCAAGTCATTTTAGACAGGTTCCTGATACACACTTAACTATCTTCTAGTAATAATCAGTTGAAACGGCTTCGTTTTCACCTGCCTGTTCGTAGACTTACTGGTCACAACCACTTCTTTTATAATGTCCTCAAGAGACTGGACAGAGCACTACACAGAGCAGAGGAAACATTTGTCACAAAGATTTGTGGAAAGCATGATGAAAGATCGAAACATAGATTCATCAAAAGCATGTAGATTCATGGGTGACTAGAAAAATGATACTTTTTTTCCCTTGGGTGATTTTTTCTAACTTAAAAATTTTATTGCTTCAATCCTTTCCTTCCATCAATTTTCTTTTTTTAATTCTGTTTTTCAGTCTTTGTTGACAGATCTCATGTATTTGTAATATAATATAGAAGAGAAGGCAGAGAAGGCAAGGAAGGGGTGGGGTGAGGGAAGGGAATAAGGACCAGAGAACTCCTGGTAAATCTCCAAAACAGCGGTCCCCAACTTCGGGCCAACTTCCAGGGTCCCCAGCTTCCATAGCCTCTGAGGATCTGGGCCACACAGCAAGAGTGAGCAGGTGAGGGGGTGATGCTCGCTCTTGGGAGCGGCTGCAAATGCAGATTAACGTTAGCAGTGAGGTTCGACTGCATATATCCCCCGACCCCAGTCCATGGAAATACTGTCTTCCATGAAACTGGTCTCTGATACAAAAAAAGGTTGGAGACCACCGCTCTAAAACACCATCCTAAGAGCAGAGCCAGGCATTTTGAAAGGCGACTTTTAAAGCTTTCTGCACATAATTAATCTGAGTATGACTTCTTATAGCATCTGGTTGCATGTGTCAATGTGACATTCATTCATAGTGAGGTGCTAACCTGTAATCACACTGCAAATCCCAAACCAACCTGGTAGTTCCTCTCCAAGCTTTGGAATTTATGATGATCTGCTTTAATTATAGCCTGTGTATGGTTTTATCAGTGGAATCACATTTGAAAATATTCTCCATCTCTGCTCCAAGTTGCCAAACAGCTGGCTAGCCAAACAGGAAACACAACTTTTGGAGAATGCTGGGTGTGAAGGACTCATTTGTAATCAAAATCCTATAGGAGGTTCCTTCCAGTTTTTGTGCAGAAGCTGTTTCTATAGCTTATGTAACTTATTTCTCCCAGTAAGTTGTAAATGATCCCAAGAAAATGAAGAGGTGATCAGAATCATGTGAATTATTTATACATATTTTACCGGCGGTTGAGCGAGGCATGCTCAGTCACACCTTTATACACACCCTTTTTTGGTGATGCAGGTTCCCAAAACCATTGTGAAACCAAAGTTCTCAAAATTTGGGTTTTTGCCATGGAAGATTGTAAAAGTAGTTTAATGTGATATAAACTTCTGGCTTAAATTGCATAAATTATGTTATTAAAATTTAAAATGACTGTTAATATTGATTGTTTTAATCAATAATGTATTACTTTAATGCTATCCTCAAAAGAAAAAGTACAATTGCTCATTCCAAACAGGGTGTTAAGTTTATATCCTAAGCCCAAAGTTCTCACAAGTTAGTCATGTAAGTTCGTCGCGTAAAAAGTTAACCCTTGTTAACATTGTATAATTCATAATTCTTACATCTTGAACCATTTATTTGTTGATACGTCAGAGTTTATTCATTTTAGGCATCTCACTTTTGCTTTTTCTCCTTTTAAAGATTCTTAAAGTTGAAAGTGATTCTTCTTGCATTTATTCTCTTTTTTCTGTTACTTTCATTTTCCTTTATTTTTTGAGTCAGGGTCTCACTCTGTCACTCAGGCTGGAGTGCAGTTACCACTCACTGCAGCCTCGACTTCCTGGGCTCAAGCAGTCCTCCTGCCCCCACCTCCCAAGTAGCTGGTACTACAGGCATGTGCCACCACACCCAGCTAAATTTTGTATTTATTCTTTGTAGAGACAAGGTCTGGCAATGTTGCCCAGGCTGGTCTCAAACTCCTGGGTTCAAGCAGTCCCACTACCTCGGCCTCCCAAGGTGCTGGGCATTATAGCGATGAGCCGTCACACTTGATCTTCTACTCAATTTTGTCAAAACAGTCGTTTTTAAAGGATAGTGTTTAAATGCAAATTTACCTATGTAGTATCTGTAAGAAACCAATAAGCCATTTTGATAACTTCATTTAAAAAAGTATAGGTACCTGCTTGCTGACACTTTGGTTGGAAGAAGTCAGTTTAAAACATGGGAGGAAACAAAATTGAAGAAGCCACACTACTTTTTACTCTTGCAGGCCATCAAATCATACTCATCAGCTAGCATCACTCAATAAATACTCATTGAATGCTGATGCTGGGCCAGGGACTTGGAAATCATCAATGAGTGAGACCAGGCCCTGCCTCCCGGGGTTGTATTCTAGTCGAAGGACAGTAAAGAGGTCAAAAATACAGATGGTGTTTTCAGATAGTGATCATTCTTCTTTTTAAAAGAATCACAGTACAAACGACCCCTTTGGTTAGTGGGATCGAGAGGGCCCGTGGAAGGTGCCAGGAAGCCCTGGCTGGGAAGGTGGCGTTTGGGCCATGAGCTGTGGGGACCCAGGGAGCAATCCACTTTGAACAGCGTGGCAAAATCCGGGCCCATGATGGGTGTGGAGAGGACTCTGATGTCCCTGCATGTTGCTTACCGTGCAGAGTAACCATCTCACGTGCTGTTTTTGATTGCAGGTCCAATTCCATGTCACCATTGGACACACAGCCCTGTCCCTGTACACCGACTGTCCCTTCCCCAAGTGGATGCACTGGGCTCTCATCGCCTATGCCATCAGCTTCATCTTCCTCTTCCTCAACTTCTACGTGCGGACGTACAAAGAGCCCAAGAAAGTGAAAACCGGCAAAACAGCCACGAATGGCATCTCAGCCAACGGTGTGAGCGCATCTGAGAAGCAGCTGGTGATAGAAAACGGAAAAAAGCAGAAAAATGGCAAAGCAAAAGGAGAGTAAATTGGAACTGGGCCTTAACTGTCGTTAGCAGTGAGGAAACTCCCATGTCATACACAATTTCAGGGAAAACAGGAAGCAAAGGAGGGCTCGGGGTGGGGAGACAAAACTAACGTGCTCTATGTGCTAGCAACCTTTAGACTGAGCAAAGTGTTACGTACCATGCCCAGACGGTTTATTTATGAAGTTTTTATTTTAAACATTTTTAAACATTAGCCTTGACGTTGTCCAGACCAAAGCAGTCAGGATGTGACGTAATTGTCTGAAGGATGAGACTTTTCGTGAATTTTGCCACCCACCTGTTCTCCAGTCTGACTTTAGACGATCGCAGAGACGTAGTCTATATGAATTTTCTTTTTGATAAATTGCTGACGTACTTACTGACTGCAGTCAGTTACCTTTCATTTTCTTGTCCAAAGCTGGAGATGTGGGTCCATTTAAATTGGCATGTTTGAACGCATCTGCTGACCGGAACCGGTCAGATCTCTCCACCTCTAAGTGAGAAAATAATACCCTTTTGGTCGTAATTAAATTTTTAAGAAATCTGCTGATCTCTGTAGAATCTTAGAGGTTCGATGATGGTGTTGGTGAAAATAAGAAAGAATGACAGTGAAATCCTGCCTGGTGATTCAAAGGTCACCATGACCGGAGGCACAAATCACTGGGGGGAAACAACACTTTTTGTGGCAGAAAGGCAGCCTTTGAATACTCCTCTATTACTAGCAGAAGAATTAAGATTGTTGTCTGATCGAAACATGAAACAACTCACGTCTTTGTCAGTAACATCTGAAGATAGTTACATTTATGTGCTGTTAGCAGAGAGTATGTTGATTTTTTATCAGGCTTCCCTTGTTTTGATTTGCGGCTGTTACTGATTTTTCGTATGTGGAAATATACCTACCTCTTCTGTTGGAAAGAACATTTAAAATTAAATAAATTTTAATTTAAAAATCAAGGAGTCCTCTAATGTAAATTTTAATATTAACTTTCAAATCCACTGGTCTGTTTCTTTGTTTTTGTTTTTGTTTTGTGTGTTTTTTTTTGTTGTTGTTGTTGTTTTACAAATAGCATACACAAAACATTTCTGTGAAACTATCCTTCTCTTTCAATGTGCTTAATTTCGGAGTGACACTTTCCTTGTGACTGAGTTGCAAGATCTTATTTATTAACTGGATATGAAGTGTAAGTCCACTTTGGTGCAATATTCTTGACTCCTTGGTGCTAAGGATCGTTAAACTCAGTGCTTGATGTTGCAAGGTTTTAATTGTCAAAACACAAATGAAAGAGTAGTCAGAACTATAAAATCAGATTTGCAATTTACAAAGGAAATATTTCATGTAATATAAAGGAACTACCGGGACTAAAGAAAGAGAACCTGCACCATGTTTTAACACAGGGTAATTTGTTGGAGGTCATTGTGCAGGGATCATTATAGAAACAGAAAACGTGACCAAAAAAGCATGACTATTTCTAAGTATCTCAGCATGTCAAAACTGCATGTGTAGGATGTATGCTGTTTGTACCAACTATTTCAGAATATTTTTTCAACCCTAAAATATTTATTGTGCGTTTTAAAATGATATACTTCTTCCCCAAAGGCATGCAGTCATGAGAATTACAGAAAATTTGCAAATCATACAGGAGTTTGGTCTAAGAGGGTTCGGCACCTTTGTTTTTGCTGCTCAGTGTGTCATGACTAGAGATTTGTAAGTCTTTGCAAACATTCTGTACTGGTTCCCAAGAGCTATTCATTTCCTGCTACCTGATTTCAGCACAATAAATATACTACTGCTGTGGGAAAATGTTTTTTTTGTTGTTGTTAACAAGTTTATTATGATGTAAATGGTCTGCTAGATGTTTGTTGATTTGATTTAGTTGTTAATATTCCAAATTCTTTTCTGCTGTCCATTCCTTATGTAGAGAAGAAATCAAACTAGAACTTGGATGTCTAAGTTTCTAGTCTAAAGCTTATTTTTTATGGTAGCATATTTTTACTTTAAAAATTAGTCGTTTTTGGGAGAGCTTTTGTATTTAGGCATAAAACATACCATTTTCTTCTAAATTATTCTTACATAAAAGGGGATACTCTTGTATACTTATATTTAAATCATTTAGCCCTTACCATAAGTTTCCTTATCAAAGATGATTTTAGGATATTATGAAGCTTTTCTGGTAGTTTTCATAATTTCCCTATCATCACAGGTACGTTGCACGACTTGTATCTAAGAATTGATCAATAAAGACTGTGTCTCCTTTTTGGTGAAACTTTGTCACTAACTGAAGTAACATCTTCTTACAGAAAACAGGGAATTTATTAAGTATTTACAGAGGGAATACCTGCGATGGGTTTCCAATATAATCGATGACTGTGGCTCTTTCTTCTTTCTCTATTCTAGACTTTGTTTTGCTGACAAACATGGACTGATGACTGGTTTTGGTTTTAACACCGTTAATTATTTCATCCTTTCTCTTTTTTGTTTCACACACTCTCTAGGCATGCAAAAATAGCTTACCCTGAATTATTTATATTTCCTAACGTGGAATGTAGCAGTGTTTTTAGTTGACTAGGAATACTGTAATTTACAGGCTAGTGTTTTGAGTTGACTAGGAATATTTTAATTTGCAGACTAGTGTTTTTAGTTGACTAGGAATATTTTAATTTACAGGCTATTTCCATGTACTTGTAATTTACATGCAACTCAGTTCCTCTATAAACAAGAACCAAAACCCAGAGGTAGCAGTGATTTTTGCTGTGTTAGCCATCTGATCATACAAGTCAAGCACTATATATCGACTGGAGGCAGAGCTTTTGAATTGAATTCACCACAACTCTGAGCCGTTTACCCTAAGTTCCTTCCTTGTTGTGGCCTTCGTCTCAGCTAGCTAGTCTCACTGTCCCCACTGAGAAAAAGCTCAGAAAGACCCGAGGAAGTTAGATGCAGGCATCCTGCAGGAAGGTGACCAGGGCAGCAGAGCTGAGAGGCACCGTGAGGCCGAGCTGTGTACACGGGCACGCGGCATACGAGGAGTGACCGTAAAACCTGCTGAAAGAAATTGGTCACCTGAACCTCAGCCCGCAAGTAATTTTTGGCACGTGACCTTGGAAAGCAAGTCCTTGGCGGTGTGTTTTAGAATCCATCCTTACTTAGTCTGGTATTTTTGGCAGATCACTCCTGGGTGACAAGAATAGTTGTGAAAAGTAAGAGAAGTGGACACATTTCTTGTCCAGAACACTTAGAGATCGTGTGTTAGAAGTTGGTTTTCTTTTTTATGGCTGCATAATATTCCATCGTGTATATGTACCGTATTTTTTTAATCCAGTCCTCTCTTGATGGGCAGCACGGTTGGTTCCAGGTTCTTGCTATTGTGAACAATGCTGCGATAAATATACATGTGCAGGTATCTTTTTTATAGAGTGATTTGAGTTCTTCCAGGTATATTCCCAGCAGGGGGATTGCAGAGTCATATGGAAGGTCGAATTTTGCAGCAACCTAGATGAAATTAGAGTCTATAATACTGAGTGTTCTCTCACAGAAACAAAGATCTGAGCATCACATGTTCTCACTCATAAGTGGACCTTGAACAACTACCGTAATACTGTAAGAAAAGGATTGACAGTGGCGGAAGACCATGGTAGGGGGGCAGGGAGGGGCAGGGAGGTGGGATTAATATCTGTCTGGGGAAGGGGGGCCATACCTCATCAACAAGGGTCTCTGCACCATGAATATTTGTATACCTAACCCTTAACTGCATTTATTTAAAAATATATCTATAATTAAAACAAAAAAGAAGTTAGTTTTCCTTCTGTAAATTACAGAGGGAAGGCACGGCTGTGAGCTGCAATGCACTGCTTTTTTCCTAAATGTTTTTACTAGGAAAATGTGAATCCTGAAAGAGATCCAAAGTCCTAATTTTTTTTTGAGTTGGAGTCTCACTTCATCACCCAGACTGGAGTGCAATGGCTGCTCCCAGCCACCGCAGCCTCGACCTGCTGGGCTCCGGCGATCCTTTCACCTCAGCCTTCCAAGTAGCCGGAACTACAGGCACACATCACCATGCCCGGCTGATTTTTGATTTATTGTAGAGAGGAGGTCTTGCCAAGTTGCTCAAACCTGTGGGCTCAGGCCAAAGTCCTAATTTTTAAACGATTGATATGTAGAACCCCCACCACATGAGGACCGTGAGATTTTAGGATCCATCCCTGAAAAGGCCTTGTGAAGTTAGGAAGGAGGGACCCACTGCTGTCTTTAGGTTGTAAGAATTTTTAGATGGGATGATCTGGTGTTTCAGACTTACACATCCATTTTTTAATAATTTTTGACTTTTTTTTTAGATTCAGGGGTACACACACGTATTTGTAACGTGGACATGATTGCGTCATCGTGGGGATTGGGTCTCAGGTGGCCCATTCCCCAGAGTGGCCATTGTGCCCTGTAGATATTTTCTGAACCCTGACCCCCCCCCCCGCTTATTGGTGTCCTTGGTGTTTATTATTTCCATCTTTTTGACCGTTTAGCTTCCACATACGAGTTTCTGATTTTGTTTCAGTATCACAGACTTACAGATCTAGGTTTTGCTGTTTCCTTTGAGAAATGGGACTTTTTTCTACCTGTTAAAAAAAAACAGAATTTTGGGTGGTTGAGTTTATTTTGGAGGGGAGGGCGGTTTACCATATAAAGGCAAGTTTACACATCTACACATGAACAAATTTTTTTTCATACTTTTGCTTCTTGGAGAGTCGTCTGGTCTTAGAAACTCAACTTGGACTAGTTGATTTTTTTTTCTATTCTCATACATGAGCTTTTCCCCAGGAACATATTCTTTTTCCTTTTTTTTTTTTTTTTTGGTCAGTCTCACTCTGTCGCCCAGGCTAGAGTACAGTGGCACCCTCACGGCCACCACAACCTTGACCTACTGGGCTCAGGCAATCCTTCCACCTTAGCCTTCCAAGTTGCTGGAACTTCAGATACATACCACCATGCCCAGCTGATTTTTTTTAAAAAATTTATTGTAGGGACAAGGTCTCGCCATGTTGCCCACGCAGGTCTTGAACCCGTGGGCTCAGGCGATCCTCTCGCCTCCACCTCTCAAAGTGCTGGGATGAGCCACCGCACCCAACCGGGAATGTATTCTTAAAGTAGTTTCTCCTTTGAGAATAAGTGCATGCAGAGACACGTCACTTGATATCTATCTAATTATCATAATATAATACAGCTATCAGAAGGTCACATTGTATTTGAACATCTATACAGAATATATCCAAATTAAAAACCACCCCAAACAAATCTTGAAATGTTTAAATAAATATCCATTTCTAAAAACATAGTCTTGAAATTATTGAGTATTTCTCATTCTAAATATAATGTGTGTTGTAAAGAGTATTGAGTATTTCCCATTTTTTTTTAAAGATGGGATCTTGCTCTTTTTACCCAGGCTGGAGTGTAGTGGTATGATCAGACCTAACTGCAACCTCGACGTCCTGGCCTCAGGTAATCTTCCCACCTCAGCCTCCCAAGTAGCTGGGACTACAGGCACTTATCACCATAACCAGCTAATTGGTTAATATTATTGTAGAAATGGGGTCTCAGTATGTTGCCCAGGCTGGTCTCGAACTCTTGGACTCAAGCAATCCTTCCACTTTAGCCTCCCAAAGTGCTAAGATTGTAGGTGTGAACGTTCATGCCCAGCCTACGAATACAGTTCCCATGCATATTCCATGTACTCTATCCATCAGGCTTTAGGTATCCCTTTTCTGCAATTTTAGAGAAGCCAAGTTAGATTGTTCCTCTTATTAGTTAAAAAAAATTTTTTTTTCCTTTGAATTTGTCATGGAGAGAAAGGAAAGCATCCAGCTGAAATCCCTTGTTTGACATCCATGATCTATTCATCCCTTCTGTGTCATCCATGACACATTTAAACTGCGTTTCTCCTCCCTGTGAGGAGACTCTCCTAAGA